TAATTTGACCAGGATATTGTACTATTCTGGCACTTAAGTGATTAGTGAGCGTCAGCACATAGATATATTTATTTTATACAGACGGAAGTGGGTGTATATTCCTGTCCAAGTATGGCACTTTCATCAATGGAACTCCTCATCTGTAGGCTTATAGGATTCAAATTCATGCCGAAAGCTAGCTAGTTTCTCACAATGGCTGTCTGTTTCCACAGATAATTGATACTGGGAAAATCTGCATTTTTTATGCTCTTGGCATGTTTGTATTGTGTTCGGCCCATTGCCCATCTGCAGGTTAAAGTCGGGTTTGGCATTGGGCTTTTAGGCCGGTGCGGAAGTCTACATACATGTATGACAGAGATATCAGTTTCACTGTTTAATTCGACGCCATTTGGCATCACTTGCTACGATGGTCCCCTGGTGTTTACTCAGTAAAGTTTGCACACAGCCTCCAATTCGGTTGAGCTGGTCCAATGCAACACCAACATCCCTCGGTGAAGCTATAATTAGGCAAACACCCACGATCAGACCTACCAGGTGCAGATGAAGCATTGAATGAGGAGCGCTCGAAACACATTTTGTTGCCCAGATAATTATGGTGATGCCATGGACTGTTCCTCGCGTAGTCGAATTTGCCGCTTCAGGCGGCTTGCAAGTCACTCACTCCTACTCTGCTGTAGAATGCCTACGTCCACAACGGTCGCGAGTTAAAATGGATTCCCATAAAGACAACGAAGAAATTGAGGGGCTTGGCTCGAAAACTTCCGATTGGTTGCTTCTACATGGGAGCCGTCGCACCTTTGTCAGTAATCCCCGCCAGCAATTACGATTTATATTGCGAGCCCATCTCCCATGTAGCAACCACACCGCACTCAAATTGGCTATCACTGCTTTTTGGGCGTAGTACCCGAGTTCATGCGATCAAGCATACTCTACTGTGCAGAGAACATCTATCAGCCCGATCGGGTCTAGCAAGCGCCATCCTGACTAGATCTGGTAAAGACGATTCCGCCAGCACTTACGACGAACTTTGGTGATGCGATCTACTTGGATTGGAGCCGCAGCAGACATGCGAGTAACCAGTCCCACCGAAAGCAATCATATAATGCTGATAAGCGGTAGAAATTTTAGCATAGGCTGGCATAGATAGTCAGAGGTCGCACAGAGGATGGCTTTGAGTAAAGTTGTGCAGACATCCAACTCACCTTTACAAAGGATCTGCTTGAACAGTGATATACCAGTCCAAAGCGCAGTGTGTCTGATAAATAATTGATGCTCAAGGACAGTCAAGGTAGGGGACGTAGAGAACTCGGCCATTCCCTGAGAAAACGGCCTGCACGCGATATGTCAAAAGACGATTTCAGTGAGAGATACACGCGCTCGGGTTGACCACCCTGTAGATGCAATGACATCCAGGGGAAATGGTCTTTGCACAAGTTACTCGGCTTGGACAGAAGAAAGCGTGCTTAGACATCAGATCCAGCCAGCTTATATCCGAAGACACCACAGAAGGTCTGATAGTGCCTTCGATGCAGTGTCGTGTATATCCGTTAGGTCTCTCCCGCTCGCTCGTTTCCATTTGTTGGTTCCACCCGCTGGAATACGTCGTCCGGTCAGCAACGCGGAGTAGGACCAGGTGAAACTATTGGACTGCATCTCTTTGATCGTGCTCTCTAGTTGACTCGGCTATGACTCGACACCATACCGCCTCCTTTTATCGATTCGTGCCTGATATGGCCAATGTTCATCTGTAGGCTCGAAATAATGGGGTCCCGCCTCACCTTCACCTTGCACCCAGATTTAGACTCGCAGCCTGCTCGTCGGCGCAAGTAGGACTCGTCCGCCATGAGCCAGACTGAAACATGAGCTCATCCCGGTGCCTGTCGAGCTGCCAGGCATCAAAAGACGTGAGATGCGAATCGAGGATAATGATGATCATCCATTGGACGTCAGGTATTGATCCACAAGGAGGCTATTCTTTCGCGGTGTTCGAATGCGGAGACACGGTGCTATAACCCATTGTGGCTTGAGCTTTGTATCGGGTAGACACATCACCACATGACTGATGTACAGAGTCGAATGAGAGAAGGGCCGAGACTATCTGAACATTAGATTGACTCATCATCGATGCCACCAGTATTTATGTGGAAATGATAGACAGCATGCGATCGCATCGGTATAGGGGAGCTCGAGCAGAGAAAACGAGGGCGTCCTGTTGTACGATACGAGTCAGCAAGGCTTACCACTTGGACGAGTTGTTATGACTTACCTTTCATAGAGTTCGCAGAGGGCACGCTTTGTACGCTTGAGACGAGATGATCAGTGAGCTTCGTGGTCATATGAACTTGCCAAACAGATCACTTACAATCCTCTTCGGCAAGACAATGCAGCACCATTCAAGCCATGTTGTATTCTGGTCCGTCGCACTCTCCGGCCATGCTCCAAAAAAGCCGGGCTGTGGCGCAACGCGCATTCTCTCGGGCGGCATAGGCCGTGAAAACCTCACCAGGCACAAGCAATCATATAGTCGTAATGGATGAATGTTTCGCAACGCGGACGGCCGGAGACTCTGCCATTCAAGGAGTGAAGGCGGTGAGGGCGAAGACGCGATGGAGTACGCGTCGTACTGCCGCCCCCTGGTCTTATCTCCGATTCGTCGATAAGGACTACCCACAAGGATGTTTCACGGGTGGCGATGGGCTGCTCCTATATACAATAGCATGGAAATCAGTAATGGTGCTCATATTTTGAAGCACAAGAGACCGCACAAACATAAACTGATCTAGCGTAGCTGAAGGCGCGATAGTCATTCACATAACCAGAAACAACTGACGTCTCAAGCTTCCATGCATGTTGTGATATGAGGCTGGTGCAGATCAGGAACCAAGCCGCACCGTTGGAATTACCTCCGAACTGTCTATACAGACGACCAAGTTGATTTCCAATCAACTTGGCTAATTGTTGTATATATAGGCTCATGTATTCCTCAGAAATAACAAGACAATTCATACCTCTGAACAACAACAATGCAGCGAGCCTCGCAATCTGATATGCGCACCTGCTATTGGCCAGTTCCTTCTTCCGCTAGTGCATTCTGCGTAGTTTAGAGCGATGAGGCCAGGAATTTTGTGTAAGCCATGGCTTTGTGCAGAGCACTAACGGAGGTGCCGTCTCGTCGTGGCCACTCTGGTGCGATGTCGATGGTTTACTGTCTGTCATTCATTAGCTTGCAATTCGGCGAGATAATCCACGACTCACATTTTCTAGTGAACACTATGAACGAAAGCACGGCAAAGAGATGTGGTCCTTACCCTCGTGAATAGGGTCGAATGTCCTTGGTTCGATTGAATTGCATCGTCTTCAGGATCCGTGGAATACAGACAGGTCAGGCTAAGATTCACATACCTGCGACGTGGATATTCGCGCCTTTGCTTTGGGAGCGCACACAGTGGCTGTACAGTCGATTAGCTTGTTCGCTGCTGTGGCGGAGGCATTTGCGCATAGACACCTCTCAGCTAATCAAAACTCATATCTTTAATCGGCTGGTGTGGATGATAGTGTATCTGGTGGGAATCATACCTGTATCTCTCATAGGCACTGTCTGGCTTGTAATCCTCAATGTATTCTATAATGTCAGTACAGTGGAAATTCGGTTGTGGATCAAAGGGGAGAACTTATCAGGTGACTCAGACACAAGCCTGCTCGACTTTGTAGAGTCAGGTGAATGAAACGTAAAGCGAGTTGCCGGGGGCAGACGACGTATTTATAGACTTCTCGGCTCGTCCTTTCGCGTAAGAGTGCTGTTTGGTAGAAGGGTTGGGGGATCCCTCTTAATTTAGGACTGTTGAAACCCTTTTAGATGCTCAGCGAGAGAGAGAAGCAAGAGCCATGTTGCAGAACAGGATACTGAGTCAGCAAGGAACGTTGGCTCGCTGTTGAAACATTCACGACCGTCTTAAATTGAGGCTTTGCGGAGATATTTCATCCATGAATGATTTAACGTTGAATCACCAAAAGGCGCCTACAATCCCATTCCTAAAAACTGCGGACGATTTTTCTAGCCTTGCTTTAGTGCTGTGTTGGTTTTGTTGAGCTGTGGGAGAAAACGAGGTCGCGGTTGGTCAACCCGTTGAAGCTTGGCCATAGTTGTCAACACTAAACTTTGCAACTTGTGATCATGAACCTAGATACATTAAATAATAGTGTTTTTTTTTTTTTTTTTTTTGTTTTTGACAGTAGGTCCTAAAATTATTTACAATTCTCCCATTGTCGATTTCTGAGACTTCCAACAAAAGGTGCCAAGGTGTCAGATTAAAATATAACTTACATCTCAAAGAGCGTTTCTATCTGGCCTTCAACCTTTTGAGACTTTCACCCGATCGACTTCTTGATCACCATTCTTTGATCAAGTTGAATGTCAACAGCCCACCGAAAACCAACCAATTTCTAGTCAAAGCTTGGCTGCATCAATTAACAATGTAGAATTCCATACAGGGTTATCTGTGCTTGCATAGTCTATAAGGGACACATAGGCCTGATGAAAACGGTACTGCTCAGATCTTGACTTTTCCTTGCGGACAAAATTGATGCCCCGAATAGCTCGTCAAAGCAGGAAAAAGAAGGAGATTAACAGCCCAGTGGATTGTTAATCTTTAGCGAGAAAGACACATTGCAGGAAAACATTCCTAGTTTACTTGTTGCTTCTGTTTGCTAACAAAAGTTCCTCGGGCAGAATGAATGTCTTCAGGACGCACCGAGAACTTTGATAAAAGAGACTTACACTTGAGAGAGCTCGGATTTCACCAGATCTTGTTGTAATTGGTATAGCTGAGGGAATTCAAGAGACCGTAAATACATATGGAGTCCCAGCAAATTTTCGGTCAGCTTGGTTCTCCGTGTAGACAGTGCAGGACCTATTATGCCATGTTGCGGGTCTATATCTGGATCGGCACAGGTCTCATGTCCCAACAAATATCAGTCTCCGCGTAGGCTGAAAACAGCCCTTATGCCACCTTGGACTCTATAGACTCCTCGGGTGGGATCACACCAAAATTCTGATTTCCCCCCGCCTCAAAAAAGTGGCCATTTGCGATTTTCTGCGTGCCATTGCCGAGCAGGCTATAAAGGCGATTATTATCACCGTACTGGTTGGCAGTGCCGGGCTGGTCGGTCAGATTAGAGCCGCCCAGTGATGGAGACACCTCCGCCAGTTCCTCCCGAGCCTTTGCCAATGGCTTGACCTGCCTCTCCATCTCCGCCAAAAATATATTATGCTGAGAGATGGAATGGTCATGATATGGCGTGTATCAGCTCCACTATACGATGGCAACCCTGGGGTCTATGTCCTTCCCCAAGTACCGGGGTTCCTTGGGCCTTGATAACGAATGAGAATCGCAACGGATAGCAGAAGCCAACTGTATAGAGAAATAAGTTGCGTACCAGGATGAGTTCTCTATGGCGTAACTACAGCCTTCGTTTGGATGTAAAAGAGTGTGCGCGAAGGCTGCGCGTGACAAATAACTAGCCCAAGCAAGACATGAGAGAATCAAAGATCTTGCCAGATTGTTAGGATCCTCTTTTGTTTGATCTGTTTGCACGTTGAATTCCATTACTTTCTACAAGAAATTACGGTACTATAACAATGGCTCATCAAGGTTACCAGAGAATTCAATACAACCCTAAATGGATTAACAGGGGTAGTGCTAAATTTAGAGTAACGTGTCTCCAATTAGGGTCCGGGAATCAGATTAGAAGAGTTTAGAGGTAAAACTGATTTCGAAATCCACTTCATGAAAGACGGATAGACATCTGATTCAATGTACTGTGAATGGAAAGCTAATCAAGGAAAATCTTCAAGCTTAGGCTTCATTCCTCAATTGTGATCTTCTTGGTTTCATCGTGCTTCTCAGTCTTCGGAACAGTAATTGTCAGGATTCCATCTTTCAAATGAGCATGTGTCGCATCTCTGTCGACAGGCGATGGAAACCTGAACAACCGTCGGAAGTCACCCATGTAGCGCTCAGAAACCCACCAGGATCCGTCCTTCTCTTCGGAAGTATGTTCAGTGTGGCCCTTGATCTGCATAGTATTTGAGTCAGGATAGTCAATCTCGATATCCTTTTGTTTCACACCAGGCAGCTCGCCTTCGAGCTCGTACCCGTCCTTGGTTTCTCGCACATCAAAGGTTGGCGTGAATGTAGAGCGAAGGCTGCTGAAGCTCTTCTGCGACATGAAGTTGTCGTACTCTCCGAGTATACGGGCAAGACTCGACGGGCCCCGGTGGAGGAAGGGTGCCAAAGACATGGCTCAGTAATTCGATGCTCTTCGAAATCGGCTGGGAAATAATATTTATCTTTGGCTTCTGAGCGCGGAAGGTGTATTTGCCTTTAGTGAAGGCACAAACAGATTATGACAAGGTAGCATTGCTTAATATATGTTAGAGCTTACGCACTCGGTGAAACGTTCAGAATATCTTGGATGAGCAAACTATTTAATCAAACGGGCTAAGCAAACAATATATGTCATTGTTACATCATGTGTTGTGCGTATATTGGAGTAGTTTTATTGCTCATGTCTTCCCATAGACAGCTTCTAGAGCACGGTAGCTTGCGACCGTAGCCATTGATGTTAATGAATTTGTATATCAGAAGATATTTGACCGTCCTGTCAAAGACAGAAGACCTGCTACGTACCGTAGGGCACTACGGAATAATCTACTAATAGCAATCTGAAATTTAGGTATTGTGTCAAGCTTCCATCATGAGGTACATCAGCGGAAGACTTTTTGAGCAACCTGGTGATTCTGTGATACCTGACGGCGCTCTGTCGAACAGGACACCTGTATTCCTTGACTAAAGGATAGAGACGCTGAATCATGACGTAGGTATATGTTTAAGTCTCGATAGTTGTTTTAACACATTTCAGATTCGGGTTAGTGCGACATAGAACCCAAAAACAAGTCCTAATCCATGGACTTGTTGAAGATCCACAGGAATATAATCGGCTTATATCGCCACCTTTGTTCCTTGAAACCCTCGGAATTTTCCTGTCCTTGTACCTTGACTCTCCTTGTCAGATTACACAACGCGTTGTGTAATCCGAATCTTCTTTTTCGGTTATAATAAATGAATGAAGCTGGAGGTGGTGAAACTGGTGACGGTGACCATGCTGCGACTGTCTAGAAGTCGGTTCTTATCCTGGCCACATGAGTATGCAGCGATATCCAGACAAACTTTATCCCACCTCAAGCCTACTAGTTTGTATTAGGATCCCCTTCCGCTACCTAGCGCTCTGTGTTACGAACCTAGCACAGACTTGAAAGAAGGACAGAGGTGTATTATCAGTATATCAGCATGGGAAGAGAAAAATGAATCGTGCGTTATAGCCAACATGCTACTCAAAAGAGAACACCTTAGACGACATAAAACAATAGTACGTTCATAAATATCGATAATACCAGAAAAAGTCAGACTCACGCAGATCCAGTAGAAGTATTTCGATTTCGTACGAAAGCTTCCGGCGGTTTACCCGGTTCAAAATGACGCTGTTCGATATCAAAATGAGAGGAATCAGATTTTAAGTAGCTGAGGTTAGAGTATCCGTGGGCGGAGGGGTTGAAGTCTGGGTGAAGTGTTATTATATGCGGACAAACATTAGATGGCCTAAATAGATGGCCTAGCCCACCCGCTGTTATCGAGAGCCGTGTCCACCTTATCTTGTACCTGACGAGCTACGTTAAGATATTCATCGCGTCTATGATGATAGCAGAGTTGATCGCATTTTGTTCCGTAGCTGTACGCAACCTGATGGACGGACTAGACAGACTGCTTGAGTAGCTCATCATTCCAGTCTTTCAGCCCAGGACCGGTCCGGTCCCCATAGGCCCACAGTACTGTACATAATTTTATCACCACACTGTAATATCAGGCTCTCACACTTACTAAATACATGACATTGATAATTTTTTTACGGTCGGACATTCTGACAAAGGGTAAATATGCACTTTTATGCGAGGTACATTGTACATATGCGTAGAAACAATATATAGTTCTTGTAGGCCGCTTCGAAATTTGGTTTCACCATAAGACCAAAATACGACTTCATACATGGTCCAGTGGGTAGTGCTTTATGACCTACTTCGGCGAGAAAAAATTCAATGCCGACACAGTAGACATGCATCTATGATCAAACGGTGCCAAGATCTCCTCGCAGTAGAATTACTCTCAAAATTGTGCGCAATATAGATGGGGCTTTGTGGAGAGAATTTTTCCGCATGCCTTTGCTCCTTGTTTCGGCTGATGTTGACGCCAAAAGTCGGTACAGAACGAGCTTTCATACGACAATTGATCTTTGTCGGAGTACCAAGAGGTGAAATTGTTGGACACAGATATATCCAGCTGCTCCTGATCGACCCAGGTACGGTTGAGTTTAGAACTGCGGGAAATCAGTGCATTGGAAAGGTTGCGTGCCAGAACCGAGTTGGTGAATTGCATGACACCGTACAGTAAAATTCCCAGTGCCCCATTTATATTGCGCTAAACTGTATTTGGCCTCAGAAGGTTTCCCTAACTTATGGTAAATGTACCTTTTGCCGATGTAAAAAATACCGCAAGTCCGAATTCCTGGTACCAGACACCCTCACGTTCCCAGTTTTCTCTCAATGGGGTGGCTTTTTGATTACTCTGGGAATATAATATTACACTTTTAAGGCTTATTTTCCAGTTATGTGATTCACGATTCACTACCCTGCGACGCTAATTCTGTAATGTATCCCAAGCAGATAGCTACCTCACAGATCTACTGTGATTGAGCCATTCGTGAGCCTTGGTCAAGCTTACTTACGTTCAGCTTGGATATCTTTTCATTTTATCATCCCAACCAACATTTGGTCTTGATGATGACCTATCTGTAAAGTATAGAGGTCTAGTGTTTACAATTAGAGCCTGTCAACTAGGTAAGATGAATATGTCTTCCGAATAGTAGTATTATGGGGTGTACAGAGACTGACTCTTCGAGAACTGTCAGGTTCTCCAAGGAAGGACTATTTAACATGAGGGGTCTGCAGATCGCTGACGTGTCGATATCGAATCGACACCGCTATTCTGCTGATTCTCCAGGAGGCCATCTGGTCAGGCATATTTCATTTGGACTCCGTGACACTACCATTGTCATTATGAGAGTAATATTGTGTATTGAAAAATTCTGTGACAAAAATTGCCGCCCAATTCAAAACTGTGTATCTCTCGTCCATAGATACAACACCCGTAGGGGGTTGGGCCGGACTGGGTACTTATGACCTTGCTGCTGGTCGGCAGCTTGCTATCAGGATCGGCGTTCTCCGTACTTCCCATAGTCGAGTCAGAGAGCGGAGCAGACCTATCATAAATTTTTATTTTCGTAGTAAAGTTTTGCCGCGTGGCAAAAATTTAGGTGTCTCTTTCAAACCCCAGAGACGTTTGTCAGAATATACATCTTGTCCTTCATCTTTGCGACTAGAGCTCACTTGAACATATATATCTGGAATATGTCGTCAAAACTTCCGTCAACGTGTATGTGCTATGTGAACTGATCACCATCCCCTTGGAACTTCCGGCCCAGCGAATTAACAAAACCAGCAAACGTAGCAAGCCAGACGCCACAGGATTACGCCCCTGTTCAGCATTTCCCCCTCACCTATATGGATCAATATGGGACAATTCCCCATGATGTGCCCCCTTCAATCATCCATTGTCGCGACACTATCCTTTCCCCTCAAGTTACCGCGAAATTCCTGACGGCGGTAGCGAACTCCACTGAAGTCGGTCTTCGACCGTCCTCCCTGGAATTCACTTCCACCCAGCTATTTCCTGATCACCTCAGGAGTTATGACTTTCATTATTTGCAGTTTCCAAAAAAATTCAGGTCGAGGGACACGCTGTACCTACAACATATGGATATTATTCACAGTCTACACTATGGCCAGGCCATGATATAACTAGCCCGGCCATCTTGGAAGATGAAGTGCTTCATAAAAAGAGACTTTGTATGCAAAAGCACAGCCTGGAGGTCCAAAAAGCAATATTATCCATCGATGATACGAAATTTCTCCGCCGATACTACGAAAGGGTCTTCCACAATATACAGCAAACCAATTGCCGAATCCTGGCAAAAGCCTATGTGAAATTTGTTGAGTCCCACAAGCAAGTTAAATACCCTTATAATGGGCGGAAGACCGTGGCGGGGGAAACCCAGCAATTAAGTTCCGAGCAGAGTAAGCCACCATGGTGGCCTCCTCAAGTGCGCCATCGGGAACCCGATCATCTGCTCAAAGCAGGTAAAAAGACACTTTGCTGCGCATGATACCCACTAAGCTCACCATCTCACTAGAACGCATCGCGCTCCTTGTCCATATTCTTTGTGACTTGCGTTGCAGTCACGGCATAACATCACAAAAACTGAAAGATGCAGAGCAATCTGTTCGGTCGCAGATTATCCCGGTTGGACGTTTAGAATCCCTAGAAGAGTTATATCGTGTTAGAGGAGAAGAGGAAAAGTTTTTGGAGGGGCTTCTCGGTAGGGGCTTGCAACCACCTATTCTTCACGATTTAACTAAGTTCGTTTAGAAAAAGACGCAGCTGTTCTTATCTCGCGGAACAACTTACCCGCTCCCGATAAAATATCCAGCAAACAAACCAAGCCGAACAGTTGGGTCTCTCGGAAGTACAAACAGGGTGCAGCAGCATACGAATCATTTTCTCACAAACAAGAATTGTGCAATGTGCCTATACACTCGCAGCATTACTTTGCAGGATACACCACCCGTCAAGAAGACATCATTGATTCTTTCCCGGTTCCAGCAATGTCATCCACTCTACTTGGAACAAAGCGTCCGAGGATCGACGAGATATGACCTTCTACAGCAATTTTCAATTTCACACATTTGATATCCTCGCCGTGTGTCACCAGCCATTCTGTGCATACTGGTTAATGAAAGCGAGTAGAACGAATGAGATTTCTTACACCACATCTCTTTATGTAACGTGATTCCTTGCCGAGCGGCCATCCCTGCCGAGCGGCCACCCCACTCCAAATTTCCTATCTCCTGAGCAACCTATGTTTTCAATCATCCACTATGCCCCTAAAACGCACTGAAAAAGCCCAAAAATTCATCGAACAGGAGGGCAGGATCTTATTAGCTATCAAAGCTATTCAAAATGGCCAAATTCCTTCAGTCGCAGCTGCTGCACCTCTTTCAACGTCCCTCGTTCTACCCTGCGGGCACGTCTGACCGGCCGAACAAATCGGTCTGATGTTCGACCAAACGGCCATAAATTTACTCAAAATGAGGAGGACTCGATTCAGGATTGGTCAATCTCTATGGATTCGAGAGGTGCAGCTCTTACAATCGAAATGTTACGAGATATGGCCAATTTATTACTTCAGCGCCGGGGTGATGATACCCCCCAGACTGTTAGTAAAAACTGGCCAACCCAATATCTTAAACGACATCCCGGGCTTACGAGCCGATTCTCTCGCAAATATGACTATCGGAGGGCCTTAATGGAAGATCCAAAGGTTATCATGGAGTGGTTCGATCTCTTTCAAAAAACTGTTATCAAGTATGGGGTATTATCGGATAATATTTACAACTTTCATGAATCAGGCTTTGCAATGGGGATTAGTGCGACGACTAAAGTGATTACCCAATCATTTTATACCGGTCGGAGAGGGGTTTTACAAGCTGGGAATCGTGAATGGGTGACTGTAATCGAGGCTATTGGTGCATCTGGATATGCGTTACCACCATACATTATTTTCAAGGGGAAAAACTTCATGGAAAGATGGTTCGACGACCTCCCTCACCAATGGGCTATAAACCATAGCCCTAATGGATGGACGAGTGATGAGATTGGTGTTGATTGGCTACAAAAACACTTTATACCGCATACTACAAGCCGTACGAAGGGAAAACATCGTCTTCTGGTTCTCGATGGTCACAACAGTCACTTGACGGCTCAATTTGATAAGATTTGCGAGGAAAACTACATCATACCAATCTGTATGCCTGCTTATGCATCTCATCTTTTACAGTCCCTTGATGTAGGCTGTTTTGCGGTTTTGAAGAGGTCTTATGGAGGCCGGGTTGCAGGATATACCCGATTAGGCATCAATTCTATCGAAAAAGATGACTTTATTGATATATTCCCTATGGCGCGTACGGATGCTTTCAAAGGCACTATTATTTATAGCGCTTTTGCGGCTACCGGTTAGTCCCATTTGAACCTGATCGAGTGCTATCTAAGCTCAATATTCGTCTTTAATCCCCGCCCCTACTGGATCGGCCTGGTTCGCAAGGCTCGACATAGATAGCAATATCTCGACTGGTATATCTCAGAACACTAAGCAACTAGCAAAACGTAAAGCTAGGATCGATGCTGTACTGAGTAACGAGTCAAATAAGCTATCTATTCCTACTAAGCGTGATCTTGAGCAGTATCATAATATGACCCTCAAGATCATACATAAGCTTGTTTTTTCAGGATGAGGAAATTAAGCGATTACGGGCTGCAAATGCAAAACAGGTGAAAAAAGAGGGCTAAATCGACAAAGCAGATATCCTACCAGGGTAGTTTAACAAATCGTACGATCGCTGAGATGGGTGGTAATGGTGGTGTTGAGAGATGTATATCTAATGCACCATCTATCCCAACCCTCCCGGCAGAGCCCGAACTGCCTATTTTACCTACTGTACGTCGTCAAATCACATGCTCTGGGTGCGGTCAGAAAGGGCATCAGATTACTAGATGCCCTAGAGCTTATTTTAGTGAATTTAATGGCGTTTTGGTAGATTAATTAATGTATGAAAATTCGGAATACTGCTGGGGTGGCCGCTCGGCAAGGAATCACGTTATAGCTATAATCATGTAATCAGGATAAATTGGCTGAACGATGAGTAAGCCGAAGTATATCCGGAAGGATCCTAGTGGTATTTGGCCACACCTCATTTCGTCAAAATTCACTCGTCACTAGCGGTTGCGTAACAACTGGTGAAGTAATCGAAGGAAATAAATACTGCATGCAAGCTCGAAATGTAATCAGCTCGGTGGGTGGGCCTGCATCCGTAGTCGCCAGAAGGTTCGACGGATGGGGCCATAGTAGTGCAATGTACAATACATGCAAATCAAAAACTGCCGGCAATCCACGGATTTTAGTGATACTAAATCGATGCCTTGTGTGCCTCCTAGTGCATTTTCTGCTATAACTGCTATTTATGTTGGCTGCGTGGTCCATGAATGATCTTGGGGGCAATGGCTGAATAAGTCATGTGTATGTCCGCTCATATGGCCGACAAAAGTTGCCAACTTCTGGCTAGAGTTAGTTAAAGCTGTCCTGTGTAGCACTGGTACGATGAAATTCGGGGCTTGAAAACAGAAAGGTCTAGCTGGGCTCCCCCTATTTCATCCTTGGGATATTCACTTGTGTAGACACTATGATCCAACTCAATTGCGCGATGAGGTGGCGTGGTGGCGTAAAAAGCCTGTATAGTATCGGTGTGCGATAATGAACCGACCATTAGTCATTTGCTTTGGCAGTACAGTTGGGCAACAGTGAGCTATTTAGACCTAAGTCGTCTTTTTTTACCACCTTTATCGAGACAAATGCACCAACACTAAATAAACGCTGAACAATTTTTGTGAACAATTTTTCCTCGCGGATAGCAACCTTTCGATTTGTGCTGAGCGATCCTAGAAGCCTAGAAGCGGCTACTGTTTACAGCCCAAATTCTGGGATTGATTCAAAATAGCCCTCCATGACGAGCCTTATTAATGGTAATATACCGACACGAATATTGAACAAATTCTTGAGACTATATCAAAGCAGACGTGTATTATCATGGGCTTGTGCGAGATCGATCTGCTTCGGATCTGTCGTGCAAAGCTGGCAGAAGAGGCATCCCGTCGTGATCCTCATCTCTACATCATCGTCCAGCATTCCAACTTATTGGAGACTCTTATAACTAATTTGTCGGACAGTTGCCATAGCGGCCGTATAAAGAGGGTTCAGACAACTCTTGTAAAGAGGAACGAAAAAAGCGAACCAAGCGAAGAAACCAAGGAGCATTCTCTTCCATTAATGCCGGTTTCCGCGTCGAAGGGTGCACCTGCTTAAAAATGAAAATATACGGCAAGAGCTAGCCAAAAGTATGGCCATTCGAGGCCTCGTACCTCGGTCAAAATACTACGGCCATAGGCTAACGGAACCAGGGCAATGCTTACGCAGTCAAAGATAGTTTATTTGAGGACGAAGGCAAACTAAACAAGAGGAAATTGTTTCAAAACGCCGAAGCTTCAAAGGTATTGCATAGCTACAGTAGATCAGACAATTAATGATTGTATTTCGTCAAATGAATCTCTCCTGGAACCGCACTAAATTTAGAGATCACGTGATCCGTACCTATAGCCATTCTTCTTGTACTTTCGCCGTAGCGTTCATTGTCGAAACGAGAAGAAGAAGTTTTTAATCATTCTCGAAAAATCAGTTTGCGGTAAATTTGGCATCGTTCGACGGAAGAAGAGCTTGATTTGCTTGAGTACCGCGGGGCCCAGCACTAACTATACCCGCTCAGTCACTCCCTGTCACTTTTCTTGAAGAATCAAGGCAATGTATTAACGTCCATCCCTTGGTGAACGCACTATTTTGACATGGACCGGCGCCAGATTGGCCAGAAAGGCTGTAGCTCGTAGCACAGCCCCTATAGACACAGGTATATGATTAATTATGAATATTCATCAAAAACTGGGAATATAAATTACACATATTGCATGTATAATACGTGTCACGATGAAGGCAATTGATGTACTGGCTAGTACCGAAAATTTCAAATTGAGCGATCTCAGAGGTACAAATAAACTTCGGTGTGTTGCAACAGCGTACTTCCAAGTCCGCCCGGAATACCGTACAAACACTGAGAGAAATTAGCTGAAGAATGAATGAGCCTGTGCCGAAATAGTTGGATTTCATCATTCCTCAGCACCTCATTGATTCGTGGCCCCTGCGTGGCGAAAGAAATGGCGAAGACACTGAATGAGATATCGAAGAGATCACTTGAAAGGTGGCCAATTTAATGGTGGGCCCGCAGCTGTAGTTACCCGATCTAATGTTGGGTTAAGAGATGTACTGTAAAATCCATGGAACCCAATACTGTGACACCTAACAAAGGTCCTGTGTTCGCCTCGTGCTACAGTATCCGTCCTGTTGGCTGTGTGACCATGAAGCGGTATATTATTTATAACCTCTCATCAAGACGACACCTGGAAATAGCCAATTTCAGGTCAAATTGCTTCAAGATTATCGTGTGAAAACAGATAAATTGAATTACAGATAAGCAAACAGACTGGTCAAGTCCGGCTTCACATGTTTTCATCATGGGTATAGTCGGTTGATCAGAGACTTGACCCAACTAAACTGCAGTGGGGTGGAGTGGTTGCTTAAACTGGTTTGCAATAGCTTCGAGTGTGCGATAATGAACCGGCCACTAGTATTTTGGCTTTGGCGGAGAAATTGGGTAAGGATGGGCTATTAGATCAACGTAATCGTTTCTTCCACCAACGCGTAAGGAACATTGGACATATTGTGATATTTCTCCCGCAAAGAGAACATATTTTCGCTTTGCTTTTTGCGATTCCGGGAGACTACTATTTCCTGAGTGCCGCATAATATTTAAAAATTGATCAGATATAGCCGTCTATAAGAAAGCAATATTGTCAGTATTCTACCGACGCAAATACAGGTATCGAACATGTTACTTGGACAAAGTGTATCACAGCAGATATCTATGTCCATCAGCTCGTGCAGAGTCGGTTCTGTCGCGCAAAGCCGACAGATGAGACTTCCCGTCACGATCAGTATTTCTGCATTATCGCCCGCGTTCGATATTATTGGAGACACTTGTAATTTATTTATCAGACAGATTCAACAGGAACTGATCAAAATTATTCAAAGAAATTGGATTTGCGAAGAAACGAAAAACAAACAAACTAGCTATATTTTTCATAACTAAGTAGCAAGAAATTTGAACCGGAGCAACCTATCTCATGCTCATAATATTATACTCATTCTTATTACCGAGAGTTATGACAGCATTTCCAGTACCTTCCTAGCGCGCAGGACGATTCGTAGTTCCATCACTGATGCCACGGATGGAAAGAGGGCGGCTTAATTTAGGTGAAGATGTCGCCATTCCCGCCGCTTTGGATCTGGTCACCAGTTATATCTGCGTACGTAAGCATGCAGAGACTGTTACTAGGACCACGTGAATGTGCCCGGACTATGGAGTCAATTTTGTCGCTTGCGCCGAGGATCTCGCTACGCATGCGTTCATCTTCCTCTGCAGGTTCAAAGGGCCATGTTGAACCTAACTTGTCGATCATTTGGGCAAGCTCGGCTTCTTGCTGGTACTTGACGTACAGGGTCCCCATCAGGTCGCTTATCCAGCTAACGGTACCGGAGAGGATTTGGCCATTGTTAGGTCTTCTCTGTTTCTCTTTGATGAGAAGGTCTTCGGTGATGTTACGCGGTGTGGCGCAGCGGTCAGTACCGTGAGCCGGCAGAGAAATGATAGCTTTATCGCCTGTGCCTGCCCTAGGTAAGCATAATGAACCGTGTTTGATACACTGTTGGCGCACAACTTCCTCTTCGAGACGACGCCGTGGGATTAGATTGTAGAGGTCCTGAACGCGTTCTTTGATATTATCGCAGCGTCGGCGCTCAACTAGGTTGTGTGTAGGGCGACGTCGTTGGCGCTTGGCTTCTATGGACTCGAGGCCCTTGGTGTCTTTGCTTGAATGGGTCTGGAGCTCGGCTGAGGCAGAGGTGTTCTTGTCGAAGTTGGCGCTTACCGAATTGCTAGCAGGATGCGGCTGGTGGTATAATGATAATTTTGGCAAGTCCCCATATGGTCGCTTGCTGCCGAATATATCTTTCGAAAGGGAATTATGATGGCTGTACCGCAATCCTTCACCCTGCATGATATGTCCCGAAACGCTACCAGATCTTGAGTAGCTCAAGTTGGAGGGCCTCAAAGTGGAAATATTTGCGGTCAGGGGATCCTTCGTATCCGAAGATGTCTGGTCTGTGGCCTCCAAGCTGGACTGCGGCTTGTCGCCCACGTAGTTGTGGTTAAAGAAGCTTCCATTCAGATGTGGGATATTCTTTTTTCTCTGAGCCTGGTAGGAACCGAAGGTATTATGATCTAAAGAATCGGCCAGTGGAACATCATCCAAGAAAGCCATGTAACGGAGCGGCTCTGTAATTTGGTTGCTCACGATGGTGTTACCTGGCTGTTTGTGCATGGATTGCATGTTGTTTTCGTTTCGGGCCCCGTTCTGTTCGTGTATCTTCATCCCTTGGGGCTCATAATCATCGATTAAGAAATTGTTAAAATTGGTGGGGAACATTTCCTGCCAAGAGCCGAAAGAATAATCCCTCAATCCATTCGGGGGAATGATCAGAAGCGATGGGTCCAGCTTATCGTTGGGACTCTTGAACTGGTGATCCACTTCGTAATCGGAGTGGATCATGATGGAGCGATCGCTGTGATCTTCATATTTGTAATCCATCAAATAGTCTGCTTCTGCCATATTTCAGAGCTCAGGTAGTCCGACCAAATCTATGAGGGCGAAATTTTGAGCCGCCGCAGTAGCAGAGAAGCCGTTTTGTTGGTTCTAGCCCGATATGGATACTCGGTTGGCAATGTTAGGTTTCTTTGTATGATATGCACTGAATAAGGTACAGAATTGAGATCCAGCAGAATGCATACGCAAGAAACGTCCTGGGAATGAGTTTAATTTGGCTCTGAAGTGTAATTAAAGCAAGACAACATGCCTGCTGTGACTTTGCCTCCCAAAAAGTCAAACAATATTTGGAGAGCTTATTTGGAATCTTATTATATAGAGTTAGATTAGTCTCTCCAGCAAGGGAAATTGAAAAGTGCTTGATCGCCGTATTTGAGTACAAGATACATAAGTCTGCGCGTAGCAGCTTCATCTTTTTGAATGTCAGTCATCGTCTGTCCCACCATAGACCGTGTAACCTTTCATGCATGACATATAATGAATTCATTACGTGGAATCACATAGGGAGAATCTTATAAACTTGTTCGTGGCAGGGGTCATATGCGAATTGCAGCTGCTCTTGATGTAACTTTGATGTTGATATTCAGAAGAAATGAACGGAATGCAGACTACCGAGCTGTTTCCATGTCCTGGTCATACCTCGACGAGCTATCTCTGCTACAAGCGGGTCTCACTCTATGTTTTTCATGCTCTACATCCTTGCTATTTATGTTATACCATAGCATTCGCGTTAGTTTGCCATAAGACGATTCTAAAAATGCCTTAGTAGATCATCATTCATTTTAAAGAAATATTTATGTAGATTGTCATCAATCCACGTAATTTTGCTTGATCATAGCGGGACAATATCTGCTGATTTTGGGTGTAGTATGACGACAGAGTAGGTTACTCAGACATCTTCAACCAGAATTTTGTTCAATATAAACTTTTTAAACCTCACAAACCATTCGTAATGCACTTTGTAGCCGTCTTACCAAACCTACGCACTAGCGTACGTAGGTCTGTCCCACTCAATAAAACATTCCCAGACAAAGAATGAATAATTAAATTAATCCCATATAATGCATTCGTTCAATTTATTTACTCCAAAAAAAAAAAGCCTGGGGCCTGTTCCTGATGCTAATATTTTATACAGAATAGCGTTTTCATCCTGATTTCCTTTTCTTTTTGGCCTCATGTGCAGCGATTAGTTCTTTTTCATGCCGAGCATAACGCCGAAGACCCAGCCATGGACCTTTCATGTAATACTGTAGGCATTAGAGCTTTTTCTCCCTTTTGAAGTCCCAATTCTTGTTCGAGATAGTGTGACATCGCGATAAGTATCACATTAACACATGAGGTGGTGTCGTAAGGGAAAACCGACTTATATACCTAGTATGAAAGAAGCTAATGATCTATTATTCTTTCTAACCTGGGCATGGAAATAATACTGTAGGGATTGGGATATTGAGAGGCAGTGTAGCGTGGAAGTGAAACTCTGTGATATTAATATAATGGCAATTATACTATGTAAAAATTTCCGACCGCGAGTTGTAGATATACCAAAAGCACAATTGAATTTGTTATGAAGGCAAGCAATAGTATAAGCAATAATTGATAATCTCAGTCTACCCTGCCGGCAACGCAAATCCTGACCGACTCTTAATCAGGGGGGTGATTCATTATACATTGGCGTCGAGATATGCGGTAGGCACGGGCATCACCTGTTCAGTTGGAAAAAAATAAACATAAAGACCTCCACAATAAAACTACTCCTTTGGAAACGAAAATTTCATCAACTCCTCCGTTCATGTTTCAGATGGAGAAACAACGTTCATCTAGCAACAAGGAACTGGTGTGTCGACTTCAATGATCAATTGCTGTATTGAACGAGATCGTGTGTCAATCCAGGAGGCATTTTTGAGGATGTGACACCTTCCGGTCATTTACCACTTTCCGCCAGAATTCTTTTGTAAGTTTGTTTATTAACCACGCAAGTAAAGAGAAGTTGTAAATCATTGGCCGAAGGCTACAGAGACTGAGGACATTTGACTGACCAGCATTATAACCAAAGTTTTCCCTTGAGGGCAGCATTAAACATAAGAGCAATTTGATTTCTACCTAAATGAACAGAGAATGCTGAAGCAAGCCGGACGCAACCGGTATGAAATAAATCTATTTTCAAGCCTCGAATCTGTTGGGTTTAATTTCAGTTTCCTGCGTACGCTGAATCCGGGATAAACATCACTCAACCTATACCAGATACCCAATGAATATAGCTCCGACAGGTTACGGTACGAATGATCATTGCCGACTATCCAAGGCAATATTGTGCTGCTGGCCTCTGACCACCGTCTGCTTGAAAGATGTTGCAATGTGACTCAGAGTAGGTACTAGCCTTCCATGCAAGTGTCATAGCTAAACTTTTTATAGTGTCTTTGAATCGCCGTCGTCACTTTATCGGTCGGTCCAACCGAAAGGAAATTCCACTTGCACTCACGAATTGTGGAAGGCGGCCTTACACATATACTAAGGCCGGCCAAAGGTAGCCTGGGGGAGATAAAATTCAAGAAAACATCGCGGATATCTATACACTGACGAATACTCAATCGATTCAAATCTTTCGGCGACACGGGAGAAAATGGAACGGCTCATGATCACTGCATCGGTCAATTTGAAGCTGACGGCGACCCCAATTCTTCGCCCAAGGCGGAGATCTTAAACGTTAGCACGATTATCGCCAAGTCAAACATGTTGAAAATGAGTCTCTCATCAGTGCCTACGTGTTCATCTTGCGGGAAACGTGACTTTGTATGCAAAAACCCGAGATCTTGGTTTTGAATCTGAGTCTATGCAGAGAGGCATGGAATCACTTCGCTGAGCCTCATAAGCTTAGACAAGCTCCTACATACCCATGCCGAATTTCCGATGGATATAGGTCGAATAGATGACATCGTCCAGCTATTTTGGTTGGCTAGTGAGTCAGGTATAGAAAGCGGCATATTCATAATGATGCTTCAATATGTGTCGTCGAGTGCAATTTTTGATGTGCCGACAAAGTCTTGCGCATCTCTTGCATGAACGGCCGGACCTGAATCATGAGCTGCTGAAATATCTGGCCCTAAGTACACAGTCCTATTCCTGCATTACACTAATGTGCAAGTGCGTCTCTGTTATTTCCCCAGAATTTTATTTAGAGAGCTGAGAGATAAACACTAAATATTGGGTATTGAAGCTTATCTTGACCGGTCCGCTGGACGTAGGTAGAGAAGAACTGATTTCCCTTCCTGTCAGGGGTGTATTATGCATTCTATACTGGGAAACATGCAATCAAGAGCTACTGTAAGGAGGCCAATAGCCCGCGTCGGGCTCCCTAGGGTTGCCCATGAGCGAGGAAATAGCATAAAATCCTTCTAATCTCACAATTTAAGGTAAGCTACTCGAAAAGCCTCTAGAAAAAGTGACAATAGCGAGATTTACAGGTTCCGCAGCCTGGTCTGTTCACTTGCCGGCGATACACCGTAGAATTGGAATATAAATAACCCCTTAAGCACGCACACTCCCTAATTTTGCGGTCCGTCCTCAATTTTATCCATGTTTACTCTACCAGCTTGGAAATAGAATCTACTCCAAGCAAACAAAGACTGAGTTTTTTTCTTTTTTTCTTTCTTTCTTAAGTTACACAACGGGTTGATATTGGATTCTGATGTAATAATGATTCCGATTGTACGATAGAGCTCTCTGTTGTACAACAGGAACAATTCATCAGCCATATAAGACGTGACAGGCAAACTCTCAGATGGATTATAACGTGGTCTAATACATCGCTGATTGGCCCGCCCAGACTTTCTTCACGTTTGAGGCAAATTGGCTCCGGGAAGATCCATGGGTTGAATTGTTCTGACATTTGACCAGTCATACTGCTTTGGACATTTAATTCCTTTGTAATGAAGACCTAAGACCAGGAATATGACATACTAGATTTCAACAGTGCACAGCCTAATAGATAACATTGTATTGTCTTTTACTAAAAAACTATAACGTTCGTGCAACAAGAAGACTTGCACAAGGTCATACCTACCACCATTCGTAGAGTAGATTGTATAAGAGAATATTGGTGCCTCCGAGTGATCCAATCAATACAGCCATCCTAGCACAAAGGTCCTACTCCACCCTGCTACGTAGTCCGACTTAGCCACACTGTTTCTCCTGATCCTGGTCCCAGCCTGTGATCCGTGAGTCTAGGCAATGATATAAGAATTCTTAAACTCTCCATCTATAAATTGATACTCTCAACTCTCTCTGATTTCATTATTATTTTCTTATTCATATAGGATACCTACCCAGTTCCTGAATTTGACTAATCTGGGAACTGCTGTACATTACCATTACCATTCCAACGTCTTAGGAACTATACACAACACCTAACGAACATAATTGGAGTTCTATGATCGAACTGTGAGATTGAACTTGAAATCTACCTATCATCATTGAACGAACAAGATATCAAAGCATTAAACATCCCCCAACACAAAAACCCCCAACAAAAAGATGTCCTCTTCGGCCGTGAAGGCCCCTCCCAAGCTGGACTCCAAGGCTGGTACACCTACCAAGGCCCGCAAAAGCTCCGACTCCAGCGTAGCCTCCAAGCCCAGCACTACTGCCCAGTCAAGCGCCAAGACTCTCAAGAAACCAACACCCCGCAAGCTCTCCCATAAAGCCCCTAAACCCATTGAGAATGATGTAGAAGAGCAATCGATCCCCGAAACGCCCTCTCCCAAGCAGAAAAAGAGATCCGAGCAGCGTCGCCCTGTTTCTTCTGCCGATGATGCCTCCGTCCCCCCTCCACTTCTGGCTCTGCAGAGCCCCTCGGCCGCGCCGCCTCCGGTCTTGCTGGTAAGGCTAAAGGTGCTACTGAGAAGACAAAGCACACAACCTCGGACACAGCAAATCAAGGTTCAGAGACCGTTCAAAATGGCACGAAGGATGCCACTCATAATCTTCCCATGCCCTTGGACCTTTCTGCGCTGAAGGGCCTCGAGGTAGCCGAGGGTGGAGAGATCCTTGGACAGGATGGAAACCCCATTGGAAAGGTTGTCGAGGGAGCTCCTGAGGATCTTATTGGGCAGACTGTTGGCGATGACGGAGAGATTATCGACCAAGAAGGTGATCTGATTGGCCGTGTTGATATCCTATACGATGTCGCGGATCAGGCTAAGGATGCTGTTCCCGAAGAGGCGCAGTCCAAGCTTAGAGATATCGATTTGGAGAATGTTGTCACAGATCTTGCTCAGCTTGATGGGCTGCCTGTGTCTGATGGTGGTGTTATCAAGAACGCTGCTGGTCAGATCGTTGGCCGCATTGTTGAGGGTGATCCAGAAGATCTCATTGGATACACGCTCAACGACGACGGTGAAGTTGTCGACGAGGATGGCGATGCCATTGGCCGTGTTGACCTCATCCCCGTCGAGGAGCAGAAGAAGGCCACCAAGGAGGCTACTGGCGATGTCACCGACAAAGTTTATGACGCCAAGGACGATCTTGGGGATCAGTACGAAGATGCCCAGGATGGTCTGCCTACTGATCAAGCCAAGAGCGCCACCCCCGTTGTTGACGAAGAAGTCGACGCGGCCAAGTCTACTGCCGATGATGCCGTTTCCGAGGCCGAAGACGCTGGTTCTGACGTCGGAGACGTTAATGCCGTTGATGTCCCAGTCGCCGACGATGCCAAGAAGGCCGTTGATGGCACTGTGGACGACGCCAAGAACACCGCCGAAGAGACAGCCCAAGACGCAGCTGAGAATTGGCAGCAGCGCCTGCCCGATCTCTCAACTCTCGAAGGTCTTAGATGCAACAAGCGCGGCTACATCATCAACCAAGAGACCGGCCAGCCAGTCGGCGAACTCACCGAAGGCGACCCCAAGAAGATAGCCAAGCTCGGTGCCACCCTCGACGACAAGGGACAATTTTGGGACAACCGCGGCAACTTAATCGGAAAGGCCAAGACACTCCCCATTGAAGACGACGAAGATGACAAAGGACCTTTCTCCGGCCTTGAGGGCCTTGTCGTCGGCAAAGACGGCTTCATTGAAGATGAGAACTTTAACTGCGTCGGACGCCTGGTCGAAAGCGACGCGAAGAAACTTAGTGGCCGCGGCGTCGATGAGGATGGTGATATCCTTGATCGCAAGGGTAACGTCATTGGCCGAGCTGAGCTTCTCGAGCCCGAAGAAGAGCTTGAGGAGGCTGGATCTGATGTCTTTGCTGTTAATGGTCTTTCTTGTAATAAGGCTGGATTTGTTATTGGACTTGATGGATACCCCATTGCCTGTGTGGTTGAGGATAATCCCAAGAAACTTGCTAGCAAGAAGATTGAGGATGGTGACATCTACAACGGCAAGAAGGTCGTTAGTCGCATTGAGCTCATTCCTGATGATGAGCTTGATAGTCGACCTGAAGGTGTCTTCGCTGGCATAGAAAGTCTCTATGTTACCAAGGATAGATTTATTGAAAATAATGAAGGGTTTATTGTTGGTGAGCTTATTGAGGGAGATGCAAAGAAGCTTTGTGGACGTGCCGTTGATGAGGATGGCGAGATCACTGATAAGTATGGTAACGTTAAGGGTCGTGTTGAGTCTTATGAAGTACCCGAGGAAGAAAAGGAGGTCCCAGAGATGGATCTTTCTATCCTTGAAGGCAAGATTGTTAATAAAACTGGTAATGTCGTTAATATAGCTACTGATGCTGTCGTCGGTCGTATTGTTGAAGGCGACAAGCGCCTTGTTGGTCGCAAGGTTGACGGTAAGGGCTAGATCTGGGATGATTATGGCTAAATTATTGGCTGTGCCGAGCTGATTCCTGGCGCCGAGGGGAACATGGCCAAAGGACCTTTTTATGGCTTCGGTAATGTAACCATTGGAAAGGATGGCGTCGTTCAGGATAGTGAGAAGATTATTGATTGTCTGATCGAAGGCGACGCTAAGAGTCTTTTCGGTCGCAAGGTTGACGAGGACGGCGATGTTGTCGACAAGAACGAAAACACTATCGGCAAGGCTGAGCGCTGGGAGCCCAAAGAGAAGAAGCGCTATATTAGCTCTATGTCTGGTTGTAAAGTTAATAAGGAGGGTGAAGTTCGCGATGTGGACAGTAATCTTATTGGCAAGCTGACTGATGGCAATCTGGCGACTCTTGTTGGCAAGGTTATCGACGACAACGGTTATATTGTCGACAATGAAGGCAACAAGATTGGCGAGTGTATCTTGTTTGAAAATATCTCTGAACCTGAGCCGGAGCTAGAAGTCGAAGAAGAAGGGCCTACCTTGAAGAGTAAGAGGCTGTCGCGAAGGCCAAGTCCGATTGCTAGCTCGCCTAGAAGATGATCAACATCCTCAGTCAGACTCTTGATTATATCAGGCCAGTTTGCAAGCAAATCATAGATGTAAGTTACCGTTTCCCAATTCCCAACAAACAAAATTAACAATAAACCAGGCTTTCGAAAAAACCGACTAAACACCCAAGGATGAGCTTGACGAAGAAAAGCTCGTGCAAAAAGTCAAGCCACTCCTTGAGGAAGGCGGCCGCATCCTGCAAGAGTGCAATGGGTCAATACGTGCCCTCGATCCTGATGGACGTATCGCTGCGACCGTCAAGGCACGCGCTGCTTCTCGTGATGCCACACCCGAGGAATACCAGCTTGCGGACAAGCTCAAGGAGCTTACTGAGACGGTAGTCAAGACTATTGATAACGGCAAGAAGCGCATTGCTGTTATGCCTCACGCTAAGAAGAAGTTGAACCCCCTTTGGGCATTGCTCTCTGAGCCTTTGTTCCAGATCATCGCTGCTGTAGGACTACTGTTGACTGGTGTGCTTGGACTTGTTGGCCGTCTTCTTGGCGGCCTTGGTCTCGGTGGATTGTTGAATGGTCTGCTTGGTAGCCTTGCATTGGACAAATTGATCAATGGACTTGGTCTGGGCAGTTTGACTGATGCCCTTGGACTTGGAAAGAAATAAAAATTACTGCAATGTTTTTGGTTTGATGTCAGTCGTACTTTACATGTCACTTACTTCTTGGCTGCATTTGTATGCGCCTGGGGACATCTCTTGAGAGAGTCTTTCTCAGTCAGAACATGTCTCTTCTCGACGGGTTCGGGTGCTTCATTGTTCGCTTCATCGTTCACTGGGTGGCCAGGAGACTCAGAATCTTCCGAGGACTCTTCTGCCAAAGCCTTTAACAATCGGTCTCGGGCATGAAAACTCTCCATTCTGCGCTCAGTTCGCCGCTGCGAATAGTCGTACATTGTAGAGAGTTGCTGTTGAGTCGGGAGAAGGGGATGTTACGAAGGATGCCGTGTGAACCATGATCCCAGAAACAAGCTAACTCATCGTGAATGACACGATATGAACTTTGCGTAGTGTTTGTGGGTGGCAAAAATCAACGGTTGCTGAACATTGGCTTGTTGAATAAACCAAGCAAACCCAGCCGTTGAATGTTAAATGGTAGGACACAGTCCAGACTCTCAACACATGCTAGAGCGAGAAGAATTCAAAAATGCGCTTCAGCGGTGAGTTTCTTTCATGCGGGCCAGTACGTTGAAGGTAATTCATCTCAATCAACGTATGGACTTGAGACGAAAAATTTACATGATCCAAGCGGTATTACTGTACCCCTCGGCGAACCAAAACAACCACGGGCAAAGTGGAGGCGTGAATCTACCAGCCCGAAACTTTGGAAAACACAGAATGATCCCAACCACCGTTGAATTATTTCAACTCTCATCAACGAGACGGTGATTCTTGCTAGGATGTGCACAACTGGTTCCTCTGAAGAGACGGTGACCGAAAAGTTATAAAAGGAGCCAAATTCCCAGCCCAAAAAAAGTCAGGACTTCGGTCCTCACACTCCGATTTGTCATGGTGTCCCTCTTGCTTACGGGCTTGAGCGTCTCCGTGGCCACGGCTGTCGCTGCCCCGAGCCCCGCGGGTTTATAAATGTGCTCCCTCGTTGCCCTGAGCCCCGCGAGTGTAAAAAGGTGCTTCGCAGGATAGGTCTGCGCCAACAACAATCTTCGCAGGGAGGTGTTGTGTCAACAAACTACCTCGCAGGAGACCGCTTCATCACCATGTTATCCGCAGCCTAGATCCTTCGACACCAAGAGTCTCCGCAGGGACATCTGCGACACCAAGGCCCTCTAGCCCGTGCAGGCACCTCTTCGTGATGCTAGGGACCAGTATTCGAGTATTCAAGAGTACTCGAAGAAGCCAAGATCTGCGCACCATCTTGATGATGTATTTTGTAATTCAAAATCATCATTGGAGAAATAAAATAGCCCTATATAGAAGCAAACCAATATCAGGATCGTAGATTCAAAATTCAACCTTCGTTATCGAGTGCCATATTCCCAAACCTCCTATCTTCATGGTTTGCGGTCGGCTAGTCTTCCCGCCGCAATAGAATTTATCCGCCATTAGGGCGTGGAGCGAACAAAATGGTGAGTATTTTGGTGCATCGTGGATGTGTTGATGGTGTTGATAAACGTTGATGAACTTTGACTGGTGATGATGAGCGTTGACGATAGTATGGGCGAGGGTGTTGATGTGTGTATTGTGGTATATGGCCAGGCGGTGAAGTTGAGCGATGGTCACTTAAGCCCAATGTCAAACTGAGGGGTGGTATTTCACCACTAAGGACATGGTTATTCATCAAGTACCCATTCTCTCTTTGTCTTTGTATGGTAAACGGGGAATACTCGGGATACCAGCATTGTAACATGCTAGGAACGACTCCTAAGATCATATAACGCTTCAACAGCAAGATCCAGAATAGAACACACATCAATGCATCTCAATGGAATACCCCAATACTAGTACATACCAGCATCCGTCAATCCAACGCCAACCAAGCCCATGTCTATGCACACAACTACGGTATTGATATTCATAACCCTGCTGATTAATGTTGATTTTTTGTGCATGGTAGTTATAAGCCCATATCTCGGCCCGACGTTTTCCCCGGCCCAATCCGGGGTTCAACTACTCCAAGAAGCAAGATATCAAGATTCAACGGCAACGACCTGGTAATAAAGTCACGGAAAAGAGTGGCTACACTATGAGCTCGATTGCATAGGATTTACCAAGAAAAGTCGGGTTTAACCAGTATTTTGTACTATGCTGGCACTTAGAGAATTCGTGAGTGTCAGCGCATAGATATTTATACTTCATAAAGATAGAAGTAGGTGCATCTTCCTATTCAAGTAGGACATTTTCATCAGTGGAACTCCTCATTTTTAGGTTTACAGAATTCAGTTTTATACCAAAAGCTAGCTAATCTCTCAGAATTAGTGTCCGTTTCCACAGATAATTGATGCTGGGAAAATCTACACTACTTATGCAAATGCCAAGAATTGGCATGTCTGTATTGTTTTCCGCCCATTGGCCCCAAGAAAGCCCCCGGGGCTTCTACCTTCAGCCCATAGCCCATCTGCGGGTGAGGCCGGGTTGGGCCTTGGGCTTTTGGGCGGTCCGGAAGTCTACATATGACAGATAACAGTTTCATCGTCTCATTCTGCACCATTTGGCATCACTTGCTACGATGTTCACCTGGTGTCTACTCAGTAAAGTTCACACACAGCCTCCAAGTCGATTGAGCTGGCCCAATGCAAACACCAATATCCCTCGGTGAAGCTATAATTAGGCAAAACACTCACGATCAGACCTACCAGGTGTAGATGAAGCATTGAATGAGCGCTCAAAATACATTTTGTTGCTCAGATAATCATGGTGATGCGATAAACTGTTCCGTGCGTAGTCGAATTGGCCGCTTCAGACGGCTTGCAATTCACTCACTCTGCTGTAGAATGCCTACATCCACAACGGTCGCGAGTCAAAGGGGATTTCCAATGAAAGAAAACGCAGAAAGGGGCTTGGCTCGAAAATTTCCGATTGGCTTCTTCTACATGGGAGCCGTCGCACCTTGGTCAGTTTACAGCAATTACGATTATATTGCGAGCCCATCTCCTATGTAGCAACCACACCACACTCAAATTGGCGACCACTGCTTTCTGGGCGTGGTGTCGGAGCTCGTGCGATCAAGTGTATGTTCGTTTCCGCTTGTTAGCTCCACCCGCTGGAATGCATCGACCGGCTCAGCAACGCGGAGTAGGATCGGGTAGGACAGTATGGGTCGGTGATTCGTAGCTCGTGCCTTCTAGTTGACTCGGCTATGGCTCGACACCCTACCATCTCCTTTTATCAGTCCGTACCTGATATGGCCAGGGTTCATCTGTAGGCTCGAAATAATGGGGTCCCGCCTCACCTTCTCCTTGCACGCAGACTTAGACTCACAGCCTGCTCGTCGGCGAAAGTAGGACTCATCCGCCATGAGCCAGACAGAAGCATGAGCTCATCTCGGTGCCTTTCGAGCTGTCAGGCATCAAAAGACGTGATATGCGAATCGAGGATAATCAGGATCACCCATTGGACGTCAGGTATTTGATCCGCAAGGAGGCTATTCTTTTGCGGTGTACGAATACCGAGACACGGTGGTATAAGCCCATTGTGCCTTGGACTTTGTATCGGTAGACACATCGCACATGACTGATGCATAGTGTCGACTGAGAGAAGAGCCGAGGCGATGTGAACATTCCAGTCATTTCTCGTCCATGCCACCAGTAGTCATGAGGAAGAGACAGATAGCTTGCGATCGCATCGGTATAGAGGAGCTCGACTAGAGAAGATTGCTCGCTTCGCATACGACTCGAGTGACGGGTATGAGGGGTACTGTTGTACGATTCGAGTCAGCAAGGCTTACCACTCGGACGAGATTTTATAACTTACCTATTCATAAAGTTGGCAGAACTTTCGCTTGAGAAGAAACATTCAATTAGCTTCGTGGTCATATCTTACCGACGAGATCACTTACAATTGCCTACATCAATGCAGTCACCAATCATGCCATGTTGACATGTTGTATCCAATTCATTGCACCCTCCGGTTGTCGCGTCGAAGGAGGCGCGCTGGGTGCACCGGGCAACTTCTCAGAGCCAAAGGCGTGAGAAGAATCACCTGTGACAGGAGAATGTACAATCGTAATGGGATAAAACCTCGCGATGGGGACGGCAGAGGTCCATACACTCCGCCGTTCACGGTGTGAGGGCGGTGAGGTTGAGGCGGAAGACGCGATAGATCACCCGTCGTAGTGACGTGGTCTTATCTCCGATCTGGCGATAGGAATCTCAACGGGTATCATTCACAGTGGCGATGGCTGCTTCTGACATAAGATTTAGTAATGTTATTCGAGATTTGAAGCACAAAACATCGCAAACAACTGATATAGCGCCGCAGAGTGCGCGATAAATCACTCACATTACCAGGAAGAATGGATGTTTCAGCCTTTTATGCAGCGAAGCTCGCAATCAGATTCTCACATCCGTAACTGGCCCGCTCCTCTGGTTTATATCGTTCACCTGGGGTAGGTTGCGTGGTTTGAAGCGACGGGGCCGGGAATCTTGTGTAAGCCATGGCTTTGTGTAGAGTACCAACGTGGATGCTGTATCCTCGGCGCCCTTTGGTGCGATGTTAATGGTTCACTGTCATTCATTAGCTTGTAGATTCGCGACATAATCCATGATTCACATGCTCTGGTGGCCAAGACTAGGGGCAAAGAGACGGCAAAGAGCTTTGATCCTTGCCCTCGTGCATTGTGGTCGAATGTCCTCGGTTCTATTGAAATTGCATCGTCTTCAAGATCAGTGGAATTCAGACAGGTCAGGCTAATATTCACCTACCTGCGACGTGGATATTCGAGCTTTCTCTTGGGAATGCACACACGGGCTGTACAGTAGACGAGCTCAGTCGGCTGCTGTGGCGGAGACCTCGTCGCACGGACAATTGGACCAGCTAGCCCAAAACTCGTATCTTTGATCGGCTGGGGTGAATGGCAGTGCATCTGGTGGGAATCATATCTCTCACGGGGACTGTCTGACTAGCTGGTTTACGATGTATTCTATAAATGTCAGTTCAGTGGAAATTCGGTTCTGGGTCAAAGGAGAGTACTTATCAGGTGATTCAGACACAAACCTGCTCGACTTTGCGTAGTCCAGTGAATAAATTGTAGAGCGAATTGCCGGGGGTAGAGGACGTATTTATAGGCTTCTCGGCTCGTCCTTTCGCCTACGTGCTACGTGCGCTGCTTGGTAGAACGCGTTGGAGGACACTTCTTAATTGAGGCCCGTTGAAACCCATGTCTTCTTTTAACCGCAACTCTTCTTTTAACCGCAACTACATGCAGCGACATTTTTAA